ATGATGCGATTTAGGCAACGTGTTTCCAAAATTGCACTATTTACAGGGGGGTATGTAAAAAATCTTTATTTAAAATATTATAATAATAATTAAAAAATCTGAAAAAATTACATAAGAAAGAGAAAAGCTTACAGTTTATTACGCCGCAAAAAAATTGAGAATATCCTTCTTACTTTCTGAGTTATAAGCCTTTATATGAAAAGTGGTGCGATTTCGGCAACCCTAATTGTGCACTTTTTGATCTTCTACAATATGTTGCTATATCTTGCGAACCGTTGGTCTAGTCGCTTTTGCATCTAATAATTTTTGATAGAGCTCATCGAGGACTAAAAGAAACGCTACTCAGAACTACTGGGACATTCAAAAAATTATCCGATGTGTTACTTGGAAAAAATATTCAAATCAAAAATTTTTTGAGAATACTGAGCAGGTCTGGTCGGAGTTCTGGATAGTTCTCGACGAGTTCTGTCAAAAACTATAAGGTGCAAAAGCGATTAGATCAACGGTTTGCAATATACAGGGTGATGCTTTTAACTTGAGACATTCAAATATCTAAAAAAATAAGCACACTACGAAAAAAATGTTAAGAATCAAAATTTCATCATTTCGAGGGGGACATACAATGACGTTAAAATCAGACCCCCCATCCCGCCCCCTGGGCGGTGAGGGGGGGCAAGTTCTAAATCTTAAATGGGAACCCCTATTTTTTATTGCATATTCGGAATCTTTGGCTAAAAACACATACAATTTGTCTGAAACATTTTTCTCGATTCATGATAGATGGCGCTGTAATCTTACTGAGAACCCATGCTTACGAGTTTGCAATACATTAACAATAAAAATACCACGTTTTTATTGTTAATACTCGAAATTAGTCTTAAAACAAACTTCTCATTATTTTTTATTACTCATTAATTACTTCTCAAGAAACTTACTTTTAGCGTAGAGATTGACAACTTATCAAGATTTCTTCCAGCTTCTCCATATACCAGAACCATTCCAATTTTTTCTCGTACAGTTAGATACTCCATTCTAAAGTAGTATTTGGAATAATCTTCCATTTAAGTAAAGTGAGTTTTGTTTTAAAGTTATTTTTTTTTCATTTGTACTGTAATTTAAGAAAAGATAAAAATAAACACTCTCAAAGTGTTTCGTTGGCCTCGTCTGACCTCTACAATACGCCAGAGCTCAATAATACCCAGGATACTCTGTTAAAGTAAATATTTACATTAACAGTGTTTCCTGGATTACAAATTATTTGTAATGAATCAGGTCAGTATTGCGGCTGTGCGTGCCACGAGGAATGAACAAAACTCGCTTTACTTAAATCGAAGATTATTCCGAATACTACTTTAGAATGGAGTATCTAACTGTACGAGAAAAAATTGGAATGGTTCTGGTGTATGGAGAAGCTGGAAGAAATCTTGATAATGCTGTCAATCTCTACGCTAAAAGTAAGTTTCTTGAGAAGTAATTAATGAGTAATAAAAAATAATGAGAAGTTTGTTTTAAGACTAATTTCGAGTATTAACAATAAAAACGTGGTATTTTTATTGTTAATGTATTGCAAACTTGTAGGCATGGGTTCTCAGTAAGATTACAGCGCCATCTATCATGAATCGAGAAAAATGTTTCAGACAAATTGTATGTGTTTTTAGCCAAAGATCCCGAATATGCAATAAAAAATAGGGGTTCCCATTTAAGATTTAAAACTTGCCCCCCCCTCACCGCCCAGGGGGCGGGGTGGGGGGTCTAATTTTAACGTCATTGTATGTCCCCCTCGAAATGATGTAATTTTGATTCTTAACATTTTTTTCGTAGTGTGCTTATTTTTTTAGATATTTGAATGTCTCAAGTTAAAAGCATCATCCTGTATAGCGCCATTTGTCAGAAAATCAACAATTCCTAGAGTGAGTATATCTTAAAAACCGTTGGTCCAATCGCTTTTGCATCTAGTAATTTTTGATAGAGCTTATCGAGAACTATAAGAATCGCTACTCAGAACTACTGAGACTGTCAAAAAGTTATCCGATGTGTTACTTGGAAAAAATATTTGATCAAAAATTTTTTGAGAGTACTGAGCAGTTGTGGTCGGACTTTTGGATAGTTATCGACGAATTCAGTCGAAAACTATTACGTGCAAAAGCGATTAGACCAAGGTTTGCAATATATAACGGCATTTGTCAGAAAATCAACAACTCCTAGTGTGAGTATATCTTAAAAACCGTTGGTCCAATCGCTTTGAGCCCTTAGACTTTTCGACGGAACTTCTCGAGAATTATATGAAAAGCTACAAAGTGCTGCTGGATCTCTCAGAAAATTTTCAGGTGTTGTCCATGAAGATACATTTAAGTCAATAACCTTTTGAGAGTACTGAGTAATTTTTATCGGTTTTGTGCATAGTTCTCGATGAGTACCGTTGAAATGTATGATGACTGAAAGCGATCGTACCAACGGTTACTGAGATACACTCACTATAAAAATTGTTGATCTGCAATATGTTGCTAAATATTGCAAACCGTTGGTCCAGTCGCTTTTGCATCTAATAATTTTCGATAGAGCTCATTGAGAACTATAAGAATCGCTATTCAGAACTACTAGGACTGTCAAAAAGTTATCCGATGTGTTACTTGGAAAAAATATTTGATCAAAAATTTTTTGAGAGTACTGGGCAGTTGTGGTCGGACTTCTGGATAGTTATCGACGAATTCAGTCGAAAACTATTACGTGCAAAAGCGATTAGACCAAGGTTTGCAATATATAACGGCATTTGTCAGAAAATCAACAACTCCTAGTGTGAGTATATCTTAAAAACCGTTGGTCCAATCACTTTGGACCCTTAGACATTTCGTCGGAACTTCTCGAGAATTATATGAAACGCTACTCCGCGCCGCTGGCCCCTCGCCCTGGGGCCCGCCTTATCGCGCCGCCGAGGCCTCCGATCTTTTCCCCCGCTTCCCCCTCGGGATATATCGTTACAAAAGACCACCGCCGATGAAGTCATCATCGGGTGCGAGGATTAAATTAATTAAAAATGTTATACTCACCATCGGTGGTAGCAGTGGCAACCCTCCCCCGACGACCTATGGCCACTCCTCATGCAGGTGACCGAGGAGTAGGAGGAAATCCTCCACTTCGCCCACCTGCATGTGGTGCATGAGCATCCGGTCAATTGGGGGAGCCTCACCGACGACGTCCTCGTCGCCGTCGTCCACGACAACGTCGTCGTTGACGACGCGTACTTCCCTGATGATGACGACGTCGTCGTTGTCCTCGCCGTCGTCAACGACGCGTACTTCCCTGATGATGATGACGTCGTCGTTGTCCTCGCCGTCGTCAACGACGATGACGTCGTCGTCCACAGCGCCGTCCTCAGCGCCGTCGTCAACGATGACGACGTCCTTCATAGGAGGAGGTGAAGGAGGGGTTGTCGGAGGTAGCCATGGAGGACTCTCAATCTCCATAGCTACCTCCATGGCTACCTCCAAGGCGATGTCGATGGCAATGTCCATCGCCACCTCCATCACCTCCTCATCTACCAAAAACTCGCGTATAAATCGTTCGCGAGGGGGCTCGCGGTTCCCCATGTTGTTCTTTTTTTATGTTACACACACGCACACACACGCACGCACGCACACCACTCACGCACTCAGTTAGTTAGAAAAAAAAGTAAATCTCTAAATTCGAAAAGCAACGTCGATGCAACCGTCGAGATCGAACATACGGCGTAGAGTAGATTTGATCATCGTGACGTGTACGGTCGGGGATTCGAGTCGTACGAGCGTAAGATCGGTGTGCGCGTAGATCGTTGCCGTGATCGGTCCGACGGTTATGAAATTGTCCTTGTACTCATTGCGCAGCAAATTGTAGATGTTCAGTCGCTGCTCGTAGAGTCCCTTCCACGTCTCGAGGGACATGGACAGTTCGCGTCCGTGATGATCGCCCAGAACGATCTCCACGTAGCTCGGTGGACCGACGTTGATACCGATCTCGAGAAACTTGTAGCTCGTTGCGGTCAGGTCGTAACGTCGACTCAGAATGCGCACCGTGTGACGCTTCGTCCTGCGTACGTACGTAATTATATATATATTTGGTGTAGGAAAATTAAAAAAATAAAAGAGTAAAAAACTTACGATTCCTTCTGAGGGCTGCCCATCTCGGAGTAGAAGTCGAACATGATCCGTTCGCGCAAACGAGCGTAGCGAGAATGACTGCGTAAATGGCGTATTAAATTGTACCTTCTGTAATTGAAGAGAGGGGGAGGGGAAGAGAGTGGGGAGAACCTGTCGCGACAGGTGAAACGATTCTAAGAATTGTTTTTATTCATAAGAATCGTTTTATCGCAAACGAGTCCAAGAATTGTTTTTGTTCATAAGACACGCTGTTATCGCAAACGATTCCAAGAATTGTTTTTTGTTCATAAGACTATGGGGGAAGGAGTGATTATTTTATCGAGGAGGCCTCCGCGGTGGTAATGGTGGAGGAGGGGGAGGACTTCGAGGACGCACAAATTTCGACGAAGACGTTGACGGAGGAGGGGGAGGACTTCGGGGACGCACGTATTTCGACGACGTTGATGGCTCGTCCTTCGACGTAGGCAACTCCCAATAGTATCTTTGGTTTTGCGACGACGGCTTGTCCTTCGACTCCCAATAGTATCTTTGGTTCGTCGATGGTTTGTCCTTCGACGGCTTGTCCTTCGACTCCCAATAATGGGTGTGTTTCGTCGGTTTAAAAGCGGTATCCTTCGAGCCGCTGCCCCCCATTGCGCTCGGCCCACTTTCGATGCAGACAGTCGGTCAATCGGTCTATGCCGTGACGCTCGTAAGATTACGAATGAACGAAAAGAACGCTACGCACCGTCTATATACTGTCGACGCGTGTATACATACATACTACGTACATAAACAAGAGAGAGAAATAAAAAATAAATACAAAGTAAATACGTTTACGTAATCTTTTATTTCAAAAAATACAAGGTAAATACGTTTACATAATTTTTATTTCAAAAAATTTCTTCGCAACCACCATTTATATAATTTGAATACATTTTGCATGGCGCAATTCGTAGCGTGATGTCCACATCGCGTAGTATCAGCGGCATCCATATCGGTCAACGATAGAGTGTCTTCGTAAACCGCATCCAGGGTCTCGATGTGCGATCGTTCGTCCAGAAGCAAGTCTCGCAGCCACGTTCGTTTCTCAAGTCCCTTGACGTACACCACAGCATCCTCCTCCTCCTCCTCGCATACAGCACTGGTAATCAGGCGTTTCGCATCGCTGTACAGAGTCGTCCCGTCCGTCCATCGCAATCCATGGTGACAGGCAATCAACCAGGAAGCGCAAGACCTGTCAATGACCTCCATGGTACGGGATTCGTAAAGACGTAGTGCGCGAGCACGGTCCCGCGTTTCAGCACCGCAGCTTCCTTCACGACGAATCGCCCGTTGACGACAAAACCCTGCAGATCCACGAACGTCGGCGTGTGCATGTCGACTGCGATCGCAGTCGACGTATCGTAGATTCTTATATCGCGCGCTTAGACGATCTTGCGCACAACGTTGGTCAGCGGGTTGTACTCGATCACGCGATCGTGTATGATGAGACAGTACGCGGCGGTATTAGCGGGTGCGTTCTCTTTGAGTTCAAAGTCCAAACGCACGTCCACGGTGCCGCTCTTGACCGATTCGTTCTGTAGAGAGCAGTCGATGATCGCTATAGGGAAACGATCCCTAAAGAAATCCGCCCTGAGTAACGTTTCACCTCTTTCGCGGAGGATCTGATAGTACGATGTACGGAAACGTACGAACATGTCGTACAAAATGGCGTTTTTGCGTTTGTCCCAATCTAGATTTAGATCATCGTACGGGAAAAAGTCGGAATTCAGATAGAGTTTCACGTTGGTTAGTTTACAATTGTCGAAGTAATTTGAATACTTCGTCATGTTATTCTTTCTATCGGTCTGCAGAGCAAAGATGACGTATCGCGGCTTCTCGAGCTGAGTCGTAGTCTTGATAGCCCACGAGTGCTTGGTCGTGCTCGGTAACAGAGGATACTCGTACAGATCCCACGAACGGAAACTCATACTGAGATATCGTCCGTTCTCCAGGATACGCAACATGGACAGTTTATTGACTTCGTTCAACGTGACGTGGGGCATTCGCCATTGTATCTTGAACAGTTCGAGTTTCGGCTCGGCCGCTGGATCTTCCTTGACGCAATTGGTGTCGTTGCGGGCTCGTATCAGAATCAGTTCGTGACGCGCGTTGATCACCACGCGTTTGTAATCCTCGCAAAAGCCAAACAGCATGTTCAACGGCACGTAAAAACTAAAGTATCCATCGCTCGATACTAGTCTTTTTACATCGTTGTCAAAAACCGGATGCGGAAATCCTGCATTCTCCATATGATACGCGTAGTCACTAGAAAACGTTGCGTAGCCCTTCAAGAGGCTAGTCATTCCGACGTTTCTGCCACGATCGATCTCAGTGCCGTTGAGTTCGTAGCGAATTTCCTCAAACATGAACGCCACGCAATTGACCCCAAGCTGCGGCTTTGGGTCCGCGTTTTCCTCTTTCGACGTGAGTCTTCCCTCGACGTAGAGCGAGCTTTCGCAGGGTAACGCGTACAGATCCTGCTGCTGTATGGGTATTCGTATCTCGTCGCTGTGTCCGAACGTCGTGTTCACGTATGGATTGTATGTGTGAATCTCGATCTTGACGATGCGATCGTCAAAGACCGGCTCGTCCTTGACGTTCAGAATGTCGGTCATCGTTCTCTGCGCACCGCGAATCCCAGAGATTTTAAAAACTCCACGTTCGAAGCACTGAGCCTCTTCCTCTTCTTTTCGACGCGTCCGGATGAGCGAGCACTGTCGAGCTGCGCGAAGGATACGTTATCTATCCGCTGGTTCAACACGAGCATATCACGCGCGCGCGCCCTATCGCTGTCGCCGTCTCACGTGCAATCTGACGGTGATCTCCTCCCCGCGAAAATCGATCGGCCGTCCGTTCTGATCGACGACGCGTATCGTCAGATCGGTAACGCTCCGTGCGACGATCGGAAGGTAAATGATCTGCGTCGGCCTTTCCGACACCTTATATCCCGGTGGCACTTGCGGCGAAAACTCGTGTATCGTGTGCACGCTGTTGCCGTTGCTGTACGCGCCCGCCGTCAAGTTGCACTCCACGCGGACGATGTTCACGGTCATGATGTTGACCGACGCGTCCGACTGGTGCCATTTTCGCGGTTCCAGTACGCGCTTCGAGAATCCCAGCAGCGACCCGATGCTGTTGGGTTTGTCAAAGTTTACTCGGTAGGCGCACGCGATCTCGCATCTCATTGTGTTGTAGTTTGCGCGGAGCGCTATTGGGTACTCCGCGTCGTCGTCGTCCCCACGCACCGCGCCATCGGGCAGCGGACGTTTCCGCGAGATCGCGCGTTTCAGAAAGTCGTTTATGGCTCGCAGTTCGTACGAACCCTTGGGGATCGTAATCTCCTCGTCGTCGTTTCCAAAGTAAAATTTGTCGTTGGAATCGTGCACGTTCGGTATCATGTCATAGGTCTCGACCATCGTCAGACCGACCTCGTAGTCGCCGTCGCTCAGGTCTATCGCAGGAAGGTAGCAGGCCGCGAGGACGCTGCTCCTCTCGCTCAGCGTGAGTGTCAGCGACATGACGGTTCGACGAGTACTGAGATCGCGCGACGTCTCGTCGGGCTTTTTAAAATTCGACGGTTCGTAGAAATCGCAGGCACATCTGTCCGCAAAAGGTCTGATCGTACGTCTGATACGACGTTCGATTGTACTATATCGCGGTAGTGACGCCGAAGTATCGCACGAGTTCCTCGGGCGGTCGGAGATTGCCGAAACTGTCAAAGTACACGACGCGGTTGTTCCTCTTCGGCTACGCCACCCAGTGTGTACCGGGACCCGTGGCATCGTCCAGATTCACTATACCGCTCTCGTTGCGGCGCGCACCGCTCGTCGGTAACGCGTTACGCATGAAGACCCCTCTAAAGTACGGTACGCGCATACGCCGTGCGAGCCGGTCCAGTTGCACGTTGGTGGTTGCGCCCGTGGGCATTCTTATCGTTTCTTCGACGTTTTTTTTTTCCTTTCTGTCCGTGTCCGCGTTTGTACGGGGCGAGATACAGCCCGCGTCCGTACGGAGCGAGATACAGCCCGCGACCCTGTTCCATCGCGCAATCGTGACGTTGCAGCTCCTCGAGCTGACGTCGAGCGGCTTTGCTGTTGTTTATCGCTTTCGCCACGCCGGCCGCTCCACCGATCAGGGACCCGAGGGCGCCCAACATTGGCAGAATCGGCAACACGCCGCCTCGTTTCGCGGTCGGAAGAACCCGTTTTTTCGTTGCAGGTTTTTTCGCGGTGGGTTGTTTTTCCCCCTTCCTCTTCTTCATACCCATACCGATCTTGGTCTTGGCTTTCATCGCTGCCCAGATAGCCGCAGCGGCGGCTCTCTCACCCAGAGCCGAATCTCTCGCGGTAACGCGTTTTCGCGCCTCGTCGGCGAGTACCTCGTCCGCCGCGTGTCTATCGGTGAGATCGTTGCTCCGAGAATACGCGATGTCGTGCTCGCGACACGCCACGTCCAGTGGTTTCACACCCGCGTCGCCTCTGGCCAATCGTTTCCCCAGTCGAGTGCCGGGGCCGCAAAACTGGTAGCCGGGGATATGTAATTCGAAAGGAAGCGCGTTTATCGCCCGATTCAACAGGTTCTTTGCTGACATTTGCCGCAATTCTTTATCAACGGCGCTGGTCCGTCGACGTGCATCTGCTGACTCGGCAGGTTGTAGTGCTTCAGGCACCGGCGGTACCGTTAAACCTCCGAATCGGCTCGTATGTGCTCGGGGAGTCTGTCCCAAAGAAGATCTATGTACTGCTCGCACTTTCGCAGCAGAATAACCTTCGGTACGTATTCCAGCTCGGCGGAGGTCAAGCTGTACAGACGGTCCGACGCTACGACGAACATCTCGATCACTGAGCGATTCCGCTCCGTGCGTCTCTATAAATAGGTCCGCTCGCGGTGTCGGTTTTGTCAGTCGCGAGTATGCGGTTCGTGCGTCAGTCGCGCACTATCGAGGTGTCGAATCTCGACGCCAAAGTGCAGACGGAGAAGGAAACGCGCAAGCATGGAAACATGCTACCGAGTACCGTACGCGCGATCGTCTGCGGCCCGTCGAACTGCGGCAAGACCAACGTGCTGATAAGCTTGCTCGAGAGCCCGAACGGCGTACGTTTCGAGAACGTGTACGTCTACTCGAAATTGTTGCGACAGCCAAAGTATCACTACCTTGAAAAATTGCTGACACCTATCGACGAGATCAGCTACTTTACGTTCTCCAACAACAGCGACGTCGTTCCGCCGAACGAGGCGCTACCGAATTCTATCTTCGTCTTCGACGACGTGGCGTGCGACAAGCAGAACGCGGTGCGCGAGTACTTCGCGATGGGCCGCCACGCCGACGTCGATTGCTTCTATCTATGTCAGACGTACGCGAGGATACCCAAACATCTGATACGCGACAACGCGAATCTGCTGATTCTGTTCGAGCAGGACGGTACCAACCTGAGACACGTTTACAACGATCACGTGAACACCGACATGTCGTACGACGCGTTCGCATGCTGTGTCGCGAGTGTTGGCGACACAGGTACGGATTCGTAGTGATAGACAAGGACAGTGCGTTCGCAAACGGAAGATACAGAAGAGGATTTAACGAGTTCACGATATCGTAACGCAGTCATTCGTCGTTCGTACCTCAACCTAGACGAACATGGCTAACGAGCGCGAAAAAATCGCGAGGGAGATCGAGCGGACGAGCGAGTCGATCCGCAGGAAACATCGCGCTCTGAAGACCGGTAGAATCGACGAGGACCGTGCGCTGGACAGGCGTTTCGGGCCTATCGTCGAGCCGTTGCGACGGATCGCCGACGATAGTCCCGTCGCGCGCGCGATAAAGACAGAGTCGCGTGTCGCTACTCCTAAACGCAAGGAGGAGGAGGAGGAAGACTTCTTCGTGACTCCGCGCACGCATTTCTTCGATCGAACGCTCCAGCCTATAACCTCCACACCGCATGCACCTACCCAATCGTCGGAGTCATTCGACGACGTTTCCGAAACGACGTACGCGACGCTCGTGATACCCGATCAGAATGATTCGGCGGAGAACCGAGAGAAATCACGAATTCATATGGGTCCGCTGAGCCTAAGGTACGTCGAGCCTGTCCTACGAGGACTCAACGACAGCGGCATGGATCGCGTGTACGGCGCTTAGTTGGACAAGGACGGATTGATGCTCGGCAGTAAGCGTTTTGACGTGGATGACGAGGATAACATAATTATCGACGGCGTGCGATACGCCGGTACGCCCGGCCTTTACGAGCTGATATTCAAGAGAATTCCCGACGATACGCTTCAGACGGAACAAGACATGCGCGAGCACGAGAGCATGCTGCAGGCGACGAACGCGCACAGACACAAGCACCATTCGCAGGGCAGAGTACTGGCCAACAGGGGATACAAGTACAAGAATGTAATAAAACCGTTGGTCACGCCGAAGAAAAAATCTGGAAAAGGAGTACCTCGCGCCATGACGTTGAACGACGGCGCGATCGAGTACGTGCACTGGGACGATCCCAACGAGCTGGTGGAACGTCTGCAGTTGCTCGACACCTCGCATCGAGCGGGCAACGCCGCTCACGGCAACGAGATGCTGTCGATCATCGAGGAACTTCGCGAAGCGGGCGTTATTATAAATTGAGTCGCGTATCGACAAAACGGTTCAGTCGATCTCGCGCCATCGAATATCATTTAGACATGAACGTAGGCTCCGAGAGGCGTAGACTCGTCGAGGAGTTGCACGCTCCGGCGAGAAGAAATTTTCCGCGAAGACGCGTCGTGGTACGGGGATACGACGATCTGTGGCAGGCCGACATCGTCGAGATGCGGCCGTACTCGAGCCAGAACAGGGGTCGTCACTACGTACTCACCGTCATCGACGTGCTGAGCAAATACGCGTGGGCCGCGCCGCTCAGGAGCAAGGGCGGTAGCGAGACGACCGACGCTATCGCGGAGATAATTCGCGAGAGCGGGAGATGCCCGAAGAACCTGCAAACGGATATGGGGAAGGAGTTTTACAATTCTCATGTGCAAAAACTCTTGAAGAAGCGCAACATCAATCATTATTCCACGTATTCAGTAATCGTTGGTAAGAAGGTGTCGGTGGTCGAGCGGTTCAATCGTACGTTGAAGAACGATATGTGGAAGATGTTTACGCTCAACGGCACGTACAAGTGGGTCGACGCGCTGCCGCGTCTCATGTCGGATTACAACGCGCGCAAGCATCGCACCATCGGCATGCGCCCCGCTGACGTGACTCCCGCTGTCGCCGAGAGACTCCTGGACACGGTGTACGGCGCGATAAAGAGCAGGTCCCGCGAGGTTCAAAGTGGGCGACGCGGTACGCGTGAGCAAGTACAAGACGATCTTCGAGAAGGGCTACACGCCGAATTGGACCACGGAGGTGTTTCGAATCGTCAGAGTGCAGAGGACTAATCCCGTGACGTATCTCTTGGAAGATTACCGCGGCGAACCGGTCGCCGGAGGATTCTACGAGCACGAGTTGCTTCGCGTCGCTGATCCCGACGTGTATCTGGTTGAAAAGGTGTTGCGTAAGAAGGGAGACAAGGTGTACGTCAAGTGGCTGGGATTCGACGGATCGCACAATTCGTGGATAAATAAACGAGATGTCGTGTGAATTAATTTTTTGTTTTATTCGTATAAAATATACCAAAAATAAATATATACCATTATATCGTTGTCGTTCTTTATTCCTTTCAACTCTCTCTCTTACAGTACATGCATACGTACAAACTAAGTATAAAACTCAATACGTACAAGTATACGTAAAACTCAATATAAAACTCAATATAAAACTCGATACATAAAACTCAATACGTAAAAGACTAAGTACAAGTCTAGGTATAAGTATAAGTAAAACGCAATCTAAAATACGTAAAACTTAATACATAAAACTCGATACGCAAAACTCAATATAAAAGGTATAAGTACAAGTCTAGGTATAAGTATAAGTAAAACGCAATATAAAAGATACATAAAACGCAATATAAAAGATACATAAAACTTAATACATAAAACTCAATACGTAAAACTCAATACATAAAACTCAATACGTAAAACTCGATACGTAAAAGACTAAGTACAATTCTAGGTATAGGTATAGGTATAGGAATAGGTTTAGGTATAGGAATAGATACAGGTACAGGTATAGGTACAAGTACAAGTATACGTATAAAGATACATTTAAAAAACATAACTTGGTATAAACTCAATACATAAAACCTAATACGTAAAACTTAATACGTAAAACTTAATACGTCAGTACGAGAAAACTCAGTATAAGTAAAAGTATAAGTACACAACACTCGATTCGCGAGCTACACTATCCGGTAATGCCCCCACGGTAGCGTGTTCGTCGAGTCGGGTACGACGTACTGTTTGTCGTCGTACGGACTCAGAGCGATCTTCTTCTCAGACACCGTGTACACCCGGTAGTAGATGTAAGAGGAGAGTCCGAGACCGGGAGCAATGAGGGGGGGTGAGGTGCGCGGGGAAGGTACGGGGGAGGGGAGGGGGAGCCGGGCCGCCGCTGGCCCCTCGCCCTGGGGCCTTATCGCGCCGGGGCCGCCGCCACCGCCCCCTCTCGGGATATTTCGTTACAAAAGGCGGCCTTATCGCGCCGCTCTTTGTCAAAAGACCGATGCAGGCGACGACAGGTTCGCACAGCGGTCAAATAAATAAATGTTACTTACGTGCATCGGTGGTCCCAGTGGTAGCCCTCCCCCGATTGACACATCACCACTGCGCATGCAGGTGGGCGAGGAGTAGGAGGAAATCCTCCACTTCACCCACCTGCATATGGTGCATCAGCACCGGGTCCATCGGGGGAACCTCACCGATGACGACGACGCCGTCGTCGTCGTCCTCATCGTTGACGATGATCTCGTCAACGATGAGGACATCGTCGTCAACGACGGCGTCCTCGTGGTCCACGTCGTCGCCGCCGCCACCATCCTCGATGACGACTACGTCGTCGTCGTCGTCGCCGCCGCCGTCGTCCTCGATGACGACTACGTCGTCGTCGTCGTCCTCGTCGACAACGTCCTCCACAGGAGGAGGTGTTGGAGGGGGTGTGGGAGGTAACCATGGAGGGTTGTCTAA